GCGTCTTCATCCCTTACATCATCAAACATTGTCTCCTTCCCTCTCATCACCTCCATCCCTCACCAATCCCTCTCATCATCTCCATTCCTCCCATTGTCTCCATCCTCTCATCGTCTCCATCCCTCTCATCGTCTCCATCCCTCTTATCATCTCCATCCCTCACATTGTCTCTTTCCCTCTCATCATCTCCATCCCTCTCATCATGTCTGTAGAGATATCTTCATATGGTCCTTGAGACAATGTGGTAATTTCATGGTTCTTTGTTTATTAACACTCAACTGAACTCCAATCAATTCCATACACCGGAATGTACAAAGTAGCAATAATAGTAGTAGTTTAGTAGGTAAAACAAAGTTTTCCTTCCTGAATCCGTGCCCACATCATATTATATCTGTAGTTTCCATGTGACAAGCCTAGCTACGTTTGTACAACAATTCCAGTCAATCTATGGTATCCTCAAAACAAAACTAAATTTGGCTTCTTATATCTTGATCCTTACAATGTCCATCCCTCTCATCATCTCCATCCCTCTCACCATCTCCATCCCTCTCACCATCTTCATCCCTCTCATCATCCAGGCGCGGATCCAGGGGGGGGCCGAGCGGGCCTTGGCCCCCCCCCCGCAAAAAAAAAAAAAAAAAAAAAAAAGAGAGAAGAAGGAAAAGAAGGGAGAAAGGAAAAAAAGAGAAAAAGGGAAAGAAAGAAGAGGAAGAAGAAAAGTAAAGGGGGAAGAAGGGGGGGGGGCTTGGGGGAAATCAAATTCAAACGTGGTTTATTTCTGATTCCACAACGGTGTATTACAAATAATGCTGAAATGACATAATTTCCGAAATTTTTCCTCACTTTTTAGTAAATTATACGTTTGTATGTGTTTGTTGGAGAAAAAAAAAATCCTAAATTTACAACCAGGCAAAAAATATGATTCTTGAGATTCCTACATGTCAGGGCCCGAGGTACGGCGGGAATCGAGAGCCTCGAGGCATCAAAATATGCTCATCTGACCGTGATTAAATGCCTAAAACCCCTAAGCTTCCGGGGGCTTTGCCCCCTGGATTCCATCTAGGGCCCTACGGCGGGCCCTTAGATGATCATCTGACGGTAATTTGATGCCTAAAACCCCTGATTTTTTGGGGCTCCGCCCCCTGGACCCCACGCCAAATAGTGACTTGCCAGTGTCACAAAATAATAAGGTATACACCAAAATATGCTCATCTGACCTTAATTAAACGCCTAAAACCCCTGAGCTTCCGGGGCCGGCTCCGCCGCCTCGACCCCACCTCTTTGAAATTCAGACAAGGATTAAAGAGTATAGAGAACGGTACAACGCATCGTTTTCTTTCTCTAATAATAAAACGTCAAAGCCTCGCGCAGGAGGTGAGGAGGGGGGGGGGGGGGGGACTGAATTGAGACGAGGATTCAGAGGCGAGAACGGTAATACGAATCTTTAATTATTTGATGAAACGTACAAGCTTATGCGCTTCGGGCGGGATGGAGGGGGAACTAAATTCCGATGAGGATTATTTTCGAGAACGGTACAATGAATCGTCTTCTTCTCTAAGGATTAAATGAAACGTAAAAGCTTCCGCGCTTCGCACGGGAGGGGGGGGGGGGGAACTGAATTCAGACGAGGATTAAGAGTCGAGAACTGTACAACAAATCGTCTTCTTTCTCTAATGATTTAATGAAACGTAGAAGCTTCCGCGCTTCGCGCAGGAGGGGGAGGGAAAAAACTAAATTCAAACGAGAATTATTTTCGAGAACGGTACAACGAATCGTCTTCTTCCTTTAATAGTTTAATAAAACGTCATAGCTTCCGCGCTTCGCGCAGGAGGGGGAGGGGGGCTGAATTTAGACAAGGATTAAGAGTCGAGAACTGTACAACGAATCGTCTTCTTTCTCTAATAATTTAATAAATCGTAAAATTTTCCGCGCTTCGCGCGGGAGGGAAAAACTAAATTCAAACGAGAATTATTTTCGAGAACGGTACAACAAATCGTCTTCTTTCTCTAATGATTTAATGAAACGTAGTAGCTTCCGCGCTTCGCGCAGGAGGGGGAGGGGGAGGAACTGAATTTAGACAAGGATTAAGAGTCGAGAACTGTACAACGAATCGTCTTCTTCTCTAATGATTAAATAAAGATTAAAAGCTTTCGCGCTTCGCGCGGGGGGGGGGGGGGGGAACTGAAATCAGACGAGGATAAAGGGTCGAGAACGGTACAACGAATCGTCTTCTTTCTTTAATAGTTTAATAAAACGTCAAAGCTTCCACGCTACGCGCAGGAGGGGAGGGGGGGGGGCTGAATTTAGACAAGGATTAGGAGTCGAGAACAGTACAACGAATCGTCTTCTTTATCTAATGATTTAATGAAACGTAAAAGCTTCCACGCTACGGGCAGGAGGGGAGGGGGGGGGCTGAATTTAGACAAGGATTAGGAGTCGAGAACAGTACAACTAATCGTCTTCTTTATCTAATGATTTAATGAAATGTAAAAGCTTCCGCGCTTCGCACGGGAGGGGGGGGGGAACTGAAATCAGACGAGGATAAAGGGTCGAGAACGGTACAACGAATCGTCTTCTTTCTTTAATAGTTTAATAAAACGTCAAAGCTTCCACGCTTCGCGCAGGAGGGGGAGGGGGAGGAACTGAATTTAGACAAGGATTAAGAGTCGAGAACTGTACAACGAATCGTCTTCTTCTCTAATGATTAAATGAAGATTAAAAGCTTCCGCGCTTCGCGCGGGAGGGGGGGGGGGAACTGAAATCAGACGAGGATAAAGGGTCGAGAACGGTACAACGAATCGTCTTCTTTCTTTAATAGTTTAATAAAACGTCAAAGCTTCCGCGCTTCGCGCAGGAGGGGGAGGGGGGGGGACTGAATTTAGACAAGGATTAAGAGTCGAGAACTGTACAACGAATCGTCTTCTTTCTCTAATAATTTAATAAATCGTAAAATTTTCCGCGCTTCGCGCGGGAGGGAAAAACTAAATTCAAACGAGAATTATTTTCGAGAACGGTACAACGAATCGTCTTCTTCCTTTAATAGTTTAATAAAACGTCAAAGCTTCCGCGCTTCGCGCAGGAGGGGGAGGGGGCTGAATTTAGACAAGGATTAAGAGTCGAGAACTGTACAACGAATCGTCTTCTTTCTCTTATAATTTAATAAATCGTAAAATTTTCCGCGCTTCGCGCGTGAGGAGAAAAACTAAATTCAGACGAGAATTATTTTCGAGAACGGTACAACGAATCGTCTTCTTTCTCTAATAATATAATGAAACGTCAAAGCCTGGGAGGGGAAACTCGCCCCCCCCCGCATTACGTCACTGTTGGTCACCATAACGTACCAATATTTGGCTCCCATAATTTCAAATTTGGGCCCCCCCCCCTAAGAAATCCTGGATCCGCGCCTGTCATCATCTCCATCCCTCTCATCATCTCCATCCCTCTCATCATCTCCATCCCTCTCATCATCTCCACCCCATGTCATGTAAATTGAAATTTAATTATTAAATTTTAATTCTTTGAATGGAATATCATTTTAATTTGATTCAATTTAGGTTTTATTATTTTTGTATGTTCTTTTTGGTTACTAAATAGTAATCAATTATGCTGCTTTATTGCTAATTTTTTTTTTTTTTTTTTTTTTTTTTGAGGGGGGGAGTGGAAATTCGTTTTAACCCCCACTCGACCCCCCCCCCCACACACACACACTTTTTCGTTGGGAGGAGGGCGAGTCCCTGCCCCACTTCTGGCACCTATGATCGCAAGAATGGCTGGATTTCTGAAAAAGGGGCACCTACAAAGGGACACATCAACAATAATAAAAACCATTTTTAGATATTTGTATAAAGGCCTATGCCTTGGTCAAGATTGTGAATACATTACCACGAATGACATCAATATTTGTTTATTTCTTTACGTGGAACAACATTATTGTTTAAGCAACATACTTCGCGATTTGGTGTGATGGACTGAATATCGATTTTCGAGCAAGCGAGCTAATAGTATAAGGTCCCATTTGAAAAATTACATGATGAATATTAAAGACAATTTAATGAAGAAAGACTGAAAAGTTCTTTTATGTAATTATGAGTAACATTATAATTAAAACATCTGAGAAAGAAAAGTAGGCACTTATCAGAAGGGAAAAGGACATGTACAAAATGATAAGGGGGCACTTTAGGGGAACCTGAAAAAGTGGAGGCACAGTGCCCCCCCAACCAAGAATGCCGCCTCTGACTGTGGGCAAAAGTGCGAAACTAACCCAGAAAATCTAGAAATAAACCAAATTTCAATTTTATTTCGCGGGTCAACTGCCCCTTCCCCATCAGTACGCCAGTGCTTCCAGTAGGCCTATCCTTCCATGAATTCCTACCATTAAAAATTATCAGAAGGGAAAAGGACATGTACAAAGGATAAGGGGGCACTTTAGGGGAACCTGGAAAAGTGGGGGCACAGTGTCCCCCCCCCAACCAAGAATGCCGCCTCTGACAAAACTAACCCAGAAAATCTAGAAATAAACCACATTCCAATTTTATTTCGCGGGTCAACTGCCCACCCCCCCCCCCCCCCCCCCCCCCCCCCCCCCCCCCCCCCCCCCCCCCCACTATCAGTACGCCAGTGCTTCCAGTATCCTACCATTAAACAAATTCTGGGACAGAAAAATGCAGCTGTTATAGACCTCTAGATCAAAAGTATATTATTGTTACAAGGGAAATCAACTTTATTCTTTGTAATGACTGTGTTTATAAAAGCACGAAAATCATGAAAAATTACAATTTCATTTCATTTTAGATCTAGAAATCATGATGGGAAAAAGTGTGGCGAGTTGTCCGAAAAGGCTGTGGCGAGTTGTCCAGGGTATTGTGGCGAGTACTAGTTGTCCAGGGTATTGTGGCGGGATGTCCAGGGTATTGTGGCGGGTTGTCTTGGGGCGGGTTGTCTTTGTGGCGAGTTGTCTGGACCCCGTAGTGACTAGTGCATGCGCTGCACGATCTAGATGCTACATTTCTTTCGTTTGGGAAGGACGTTTAGGAGATCGGAAAAGAAAGTCTCACTAACGTTAGCAGTGACAAGTCTATGTTGTTTCAAGGTTGCCAGGAAATTCGCAATAGAAGTAAGTTTAACAATGAAATATCATGTATATACAATATCATACTTAATTTAATTTAATTTAATTTTGATAAAATAATGACATAGGGGCGCTGGTCCTAGAAATATGAGGATAGGGTCTAGTCCTCGTAAACAAGGGATACAAACAAGGGTACCGGTATATACAAACAAGGATATCTTCATAAACGCAGACAAAATGTGTCCTGAAAAATAAGGGTTAATTGTCTGCATTTTCGAGGACGCTTTTTTTCATCGGCGCTCTGGGGGTTTCATGTTACAGAACGGCTTGCTGGCGATGCCAAAAATGGATTCCCCTAGGATAACCCTAGTTAACCGTCTACTAATATGGGTTGTCCGTCTTCCCAAGGATTTATTGCTCATCTTCTTCTTCTTCTTCTTCTTCCTCCGCTCTATCGGAGATCAGCAGCTACCATAATGTACAAAGTCAATGTAAAATGCATCAAGAAAATCATTGCAGAATCCGTTTTTTGCATCGCCAATGCACCGATTAAAAGTTAAAAATATGAAACGTCTGCGAAAATGCAGACAGCCTTATTTTTGAGGACGCATCGGTCCGTGTTTATGAAGACGATCCTTGTTTATGAAGACGATCCTTATTCTCGGACCAGCGCCCCTACTGATAATGTATTTTGCCGACAAAATTCTGGTGAGGTTATTGAGAAAATAGGAAGTTAGGCCTAGCCCTAGGCCTAGGATTCTTCTTCTTCTGTTGAAGTACAGGCCACCATGTTGTTGGTGTATGAATTAATCAACACGTCTGGAGATTGACCTTAAGCACTGCACTAGGCCTAGATCTACGTGTTATAATAGGCAGCATTTGAATACATGGTAGTCAATAGGTCTAGAATCTACACTCATAACACACAGATGCACAAAATCATACCGATGCGGGCTGATCGGCAAGTTTGACAGTGGACTCACAAAATTATTCTTTCTAACATCAGAAAATTGAAAAAAATTGTATTTTAGGCCTAGATCTAGGCCTACTGCTATTTAATTTATGCACTTGTCATTTGTAAGACGCACCTCTTGACCCCCGGGAATGGTGCGTCATTGTACCGATGTGAGTCGTACATTTTGATACCATGACGCACCTTCCGTCACAGAAAGTGACACACCATTACATTCCATCGACACACATTTGAGTCAAACATATGACACACCATTTCATGAAAATGACTAGCCAATGACGCACATTTGAGAAACACTTCTGCTTGGAGAAAGTGACGGTCCCATTGACACACCAAATGACGCAACGTGGTAAAGAAACTTACTATGACGCACATATGGGTCAGTATTGTGACGGACATTTTGCGGCCATGACGGTACTGTGCGTCGCGATTGTGGGGAACATGACGCAACCATGACGCACCATCCCCGGGGGTCAAAAGGTGCGTCTTACAAATGACACCTGCATTAGGACGCTAGTGTAGACTGTAGTAGATCTAGGCTTTCATCGAAAGGGTGCGGTGCGGTGCGGCGCGGTGTGGTGTGCTCAACGCACCAATTCGATAAAAGAGGGGGGGCTTTTCTCGAAAGGGTGCGTTGAGAGCGGAGTACCGTTTTAAGACACCCTTTCGATGAAAGCGGGGGGGCTTTTCTCGAAAGGGTGCGTCGACTAGTCTTTCGCATCAGTCGTTTAAAATGAGGATCTCGGACAGAAGGTAATATAGTTGCCAATTTAAGTATATCGAAAATGTATTAAATAAAATGGAATGGTCTTGATTACAGAGTGGTCTCTTTCGTTATTACTATGTTGATGGGGGAGACAGAGAGAAGGAAAAAAGGGAAAGGGAAGATAAAAGGAAAGAAAGAAGAATAAAAAGAGAAGAGGGAAACGGGCGGGGGGGGGGGGGGGGGCGAAGGACTCTTGCCCCCCCCCAAATAAATCAGAGAGAGAGAGAAGGGAAAAAGAAAGGGAAAGAGAAGATAAAAGGAAAAAAAGAAAAGGAAGAAGAAGAAAAGAGGGAAACGGGGGCAAAGGGCTCTTGCCTCCTCCCCCCCCCCCCGCCAACAAATAAATAGTAGAGAGAGAGAGAGAGAAGGGAAAGGGAAAGGGAAAGAAAATATAAAAGGAATGAAAGAAGAAGAAGGAAAGAGGGAAACGGGGGAAGGGCGAAAGGGAGAGAGAGAGAGAGAGAGAGAAGGGAAAGGGAAATGGAAAGAGAAGATAAAAGGAAAAAAAGAAGAGGAAGAAGAAGAAAAGAGGGAAACGGGGGCAAAGGGCTCTTGCCTCCTCCCCCCCCCGCCAACAAATAAATAGTAGAGAGAGAGAGAGAGAAAGAGAGAAGGGAAAGGGAAAGGGAAAGAAAATATAAAAGGAAAGAAAGAAGAAGAAGAAGGAAAGATGGATACGGAGGAAGGGCGAAAGGTTCTTACCTCCCCCCCCCTCCCGCCAAAAAAATAAATAACAGAGAGAGAGAGAAAAGGGAGAGGGAAAGAAAATCTAAAAGGAAAGAAAGAAGAGGAAAAAGAATAAGAAAAGAGGGAAAGGGGGCGAAGGGCTCTTGCCTCCCCCCCCTGCCAACAAATAAATAAGAGAGAGAGAGAGAGAGAGAGAGAGAAGGGAAAGGGAAAGAAAATATAAAAGGAAAGAAAGAAGAAGAAGAAGAAGAAAAGATGGATACGGGGGAAGGGCGAAAGGTTCTTACCTCCCCACCCCCCTCTCGCCAAAAAAATAAATAAGAGAGAGAGAGAGAAGGGAGAGGGAAAGAAAATCTAAAAGGAAAGAAAGAAGAGGAAAAAGAATAAGAAAAGAGGGAAAGGGGGCGAAGGGCTCTTGCCAACAAAATAAATAAGAGAGAGAAGGGGAAAGGGAAAGGGAAAGAGAAGATAAAAGGAAAGAAAGAAGAGGAAGAAGAAGAAGAAAAGAGGTAAATGGGGGCGAAGGGCTCTTGCCTCCCCCGCCAAAAGTAAATAAGAGAGAGAGAGAGAAGGGAAAGGGAAAGGGAAAGAGGAAGAGAATATAAAAGGAAAAAAAGAAGAAAAGGGGAAGGGGAAAAAGAGAGTAAAAGGGAAAGAAAAGAAATAAAGAAAAAGAAAAGAAAAAAAATAAAAAAGAAAAGAAAGGAAAGAAAAGAGAAGAAAGAAAAGAAAGAAAGAGAAAAACGAAAAAGAGGGAGAATAGGAAAGAAAGGAGGCAAGAGCCCTTTGCCCCCATTTCCCTCTTTTCTTCTTCCTCTTCTTTTTTTCCTTTTATATTTTCTTTCCCTTTCCCTTTCCTTCTCTCTCTCTCTCTCTCTCCCTTTCGCCCTTCCCCCGTTTCCCTCTTTCCTTCTTCTTCTTTCTTTCCTTTTATATTTTCTTTCCCTTTCCCTTTCCCTTCTCTCTATCTCTCTCTCTCTCTCTACTATTTATTTGTTGGCGGGGGGGGGGGGGGGGAGGAGGCAAGAGCCCTTTGCCCCCGTTTCCCTCTTTTCTTCTTCTTCCTCTTCTTTTTTTCCTTTTATCTTCTCTTTCCCTTTCTTTTTCCCTTCTCTCTCTTTCTGATTTATTTTTTGGCGGGGGGGGGGGGGGGGGGCAAGAGTCCTTCGCCCCCCCCGTTTCCCTCTTCTTCTTCTTTCTTTCCTTTTATATTTTCTTTCCCTTTCCCTTTCCCTTCTCTCTATCTCTCTCTCTCTCTCTACTATTTATTTGTTGGCGGGGGGGGGGGGGGGGGAGGAGGCAAGAGCCCTTTGCCCCCGTTTCCCTCTTTTCTTCTTCTTCCTCTTCTTTTTTTCCTTTTATCTTCTCTTTCACTTTCTTTTCCCCTTCTCTCTCTCTCTGATTTATTTTTTGGCGGGGGGGGGGGGGGGGGGGCAAGAGTCCTTCGCCCTCCCGTTTCCCTCTTCTCTTTTTATTCTTCTTTCTTTCCTTTTATCTTCCCTTTCCCTTTTTTCCTTCTCTCTGTCTCCCCCATCAACATAGTAATAACGAAAGAGACCACTCTGTAATCAAGACCATTCCATTTTATTTAATACATTTTCGATATACTTAAATTGGCAACTATATTACCTTCTGTCCGAGATCCTCATTTTAAACGACTGATGCGAAAGACTAGTCGACGCACCCTTCCGAGAAAAGCCCCCCCGCTTTCATCGAAAGGGTGTGTTAAAACGGTACTCCGCTCTCAACGCACCCTTTCGAGAAAAGCCCCCCCTCTTTTATCGAATGGGTGCGTTGAGCACACCACACCGCGCCGCACCACACCGCACCCTTTTGATGAAAGCCGTAGATCTAGGCCTAGTTCCGTATCCATTTTTTTAGCAGTTTAATATCCATTCTTAGCAAATGAATTTTAGCCCAATTTTTTGTCTACTTATTTTAATCATAATCATAGGTCTAGGGTCTATAGACTATTGCATTTTCCAATTGAATTTGGATCACATCCGACATCGTGAAACCTTAGTTTAGGGATTCGATGTCGACGTCGTCGCTCAGTACCGTCTCTACTCTGTAGTCCTGCACCTCAAACTGAAGCTATCAGTACAAAATTATGCAGACTTCTTGTATGGTTTATGGTATCGCGCATACGAGGAGTCTGCATAATTTTGGACTGATAGCTTCAGTTTGAGGTGCAGGACTACAGCGTAGAGACAGTACTGAGCGACGACGTCGACATCGAAGCCCTAAACGAAGGTTCCCAATGTCGAATGTGATCCAAATTCAATTGGAAAATGCAATATATGATTATGATTAAAATTAGTTAAAAATTGGGCTAAAATTTCTTTGTTAAGAATGGATATTAAACTGCTAAAAAAAATGGATACGGAACTACACTAGCGCCCTATTTAGATCTAGATCTAGATTCTAGTTGTCATCACTCGTCACTAAAGTAGTCTACCGATTTTGAGTGAAATCAGTTGAGTTTTGTACAGAGGTGTTTGAAATGTTGGGGATCAATAGCACAGCTTTTACTACAAAGCCAAGATAGTAATGTTACTAGGGGTTTCAGAGTGATGACGTCATGAGTTCGCACTGGGCGATCGAGAGCGAAAGTGTAGTAATCTCTGCGTGTCTTTCGATTATTACGTAAACTCCGTAGCCACACACAGCTTCGCGTTGCGAAGGCCCCACAATATCGTACTTGTCGGAAAACATCGTTAAAACTTCGCCTCCTTTTGTCTCTCTCCCCTCCGTGCTGATATAACCTAAGTGTTTGTAGTGCAAGGAGAACTGACGAAACAATGCAATGAAGTTTTAAAAGCTACGATTTCATCATTTTCCCGTAATCTGCTTCCAACTTAGATTCGTGAGTATGAAAAGTCTGCTGATTCAGAAAATGTATTTGTTGTTGATGTTTTATCAAATTTGAAATGCGGAAAAAAAACATTATTAAGGCCCGATTCATGAAAATAAACGATCAAATTTGAGCTTCGTCGTGAGCGAGCTGTGCGGAGACCGCTTGAGCTTGCAACAGACCCATGGGCAGGTCCATTTTTTGGGTGGGGGTGTTAAATTCAACAATATGATAAATACATAAATATTTACTTTTTTAAGCGAAATTCCGTGAGTTTAAACTATCGTTTTTGCCGGCGTAAAGGCCGCAGTATTTTTGGAAGAGAAAATATCAAAAAGAGTAAAAATTTAAAAAAAGTAAGTCAAAACCAGCACAAATTTGCACATATGGGACTACGAACGGTACAATAACTGTACCACTATGGTACAGGACATTTCACATCTTACCGACAATTTTATCTTGCATTGTTGACATGAAGACGAAAATAAACTTCCAAAAACAACATCTGCCGATAGCTCTTGATCTAAGTTTGTGCCAATGCATTGCAAAAGTAAAAGAAGGGCCCTTTTAACGGAGCTGCTGCGAAGCATCCAGCACGCAAAGTAGCTATATTGAATCCATTTCAATACACAAGAGAGTATAGATCACAGAAAACTACATAGGCTAGTATCAGTGCTGGATGGCCGAGCGGTCTTAGGCGGTGATTTTAGTCACATCAACTTTTGTACGCAAAAGATCAATTCCCGTCTTCGACAAAAGTTTCTTTAAATTTATTTATTTATTTTTTTTTAATGTCAAAATCGGGGTGCGGCCTATACGGCGCTGCGGCCTTATCGCCGGCAAATACGGTAGTTCTAGTAGATAATTAAGGACTTTGATTATGTTTGGTAACATTTAAAGCACATTCCTATATTTTTATTTAAAGTTCGGTTCAGGAAAAAAATCCAAATAAATGCGATAGTTACCTGTGTGAAAAAATGGTATTTACCACAACAACGATGAAAAACAAATCGGATGAAATGTTGATCTTGTGACTTTGTGTTTATTTTGGAGACAATAGATGACATGTTATGTATGTTTTGGTCATATAAACATTACAAATTGCCCCTTTTAAAAGAATTATACAATTTTAAGGACGGAATTGAGGCCTCGGATTTTATTCTTGCGCCACTTGTGTGAACTCACGCTAGTCCCATACGTTAAATGTTACGTTTGCTTGAGTTTAAAGTTGCATTTCTCCACGATTCTCTGTACTCAGGTTTTCTGATCATAAATAATGTGAAATCTATCTTCTTTGTGCAAGATTCTCGTTGATAACATATTTTATTTATTGTGTGGAACTTCTTTACTGTTCCATTTCTCATTTATTTACCTCCTCCACCTGTCTGAAAACCCGGCTGAAAACTACATTTAAACACTGTCAATAAATGTGCTTTATTAATGTTAGTCTAGATTTAGATCTATTTGTTATTCTAACCAAATGTTTCTGTTCAAATATTTCACTGATTGTTACTTCTTGAACTGGATAATCAGTTACATAACTTATTGTAGACCCTAATTTTAAAAATTGTTGTAAAAGTACTCAAAATTACAATCAATTTTCAAGTTCGACTGAACTACATTAACTTATTAAGTAGACTACCGTACCGGTACTAGACTCTAGACAGTAATTATTTTTTTTTTCTTCAAAAATAATTGTGCCTCCGCTAACAAAGGAGCCGGAGGCATTATTTATCAATTATTATTATGACAGTATTACATTACATGTTTTGTTTTGGAAATGAACGTAATGCGAACATTTCTTTGATTGATTTTTAATGTTTTATTTTATATTTGTTGTAGATGGCAAACACAGTGTCTGAGGAGCCAGCAAGTGCAATGGATGAGGCTAAAGACAAGGGGATTTTGTCAGGGACTAATCTTGAACATGATGAAGCTGAAGGTAAGTATCATCTTTCATTCTTTATAAATTAATTAGATTAATTTATTTTTGTTAATGAAATAATATTAAGTGGTGAAGATAATTTGGTAACCAAAATATATTATACTGTACATAGAGTCTATGTTTGAATTCATTTAGTTCATTGTTGGTTAACTCAATTTCATTGCCCTCAATCTGGATAATGATACAAAATAAGCTAAGGAAATAAGAATGGCGTTAATTTATTTATCTTTTCTAATTTTGTTTTGTTAATAGTAACAGCTCCTGTATCACCAGCAGCGGGATCATCAGCTCCTGGAGGCGGAGCAGGAGAATTGTCAATTCCAGCAGGATCATCAGCTACTAGCTGTACTAGCGACAGGATCTTAAGCTCCTCAAGCGACTTCAATCCCAGGAGGAAGCAATGGTAATTATTGTTGTCACTGTTTATTTTCAAATGGTAAATCATGCATGAATTAAATGAACATTTTAGTTTTAATCATTGTTGCCTTGAATCTTTATTAGTAGTATTTATCATGACAAAATAAGCTAAGGAAATAAGAATGGCGTTAATTTATTTATCTTTTCTAATTTTGTTTTGTTAATAGTAACAGCTCCTGTATCACCAGCAGCGGGATCATCAGCTCCTGGAGGCGGAGCAGGAGAATTGTCAATTCCAGCAGGATCATCAGCTACTAGCTGTACTAGCGACAGGATCTTAAGCTCCTCAAGCGACTTCAATCCCAGGAGGAAGCAATGGTAATTATTGTTGTCACTGTTTATTTTCAAATGGTAAATCATGCATGAATTAAATGAACATTTTAGTTTTTAATCATTGTTGCCTTGAATCTTTATTAGTAGTATTTATCATGACAAAATAAGCTAAGGAAATAAGAATGGCGTTAATTTATTTATCTTTTCTAATTTTGTTTTGTTAATAGTAACAGCTCCTGTAGCACTAGCAGCGGGGTCATCAGCTCCTGGAGTAGCGGCCGGATCATCAGCTCCTCAAGCGACGGCAATCCCCGGAGGAAGCAACGATAATTATTGTTGTCACTGTTTTTTATTATGGTTAATCGTCCCAAAATTAAATGAACATCTTATTTGGAATCCGTGATTTAAGATGAATGGAATATACATATGTTTTCAAATTTATGCTCATCCAATCCTCATCACTAAATAAGCATTGTATTTAATAGGCAGAAGAATCACAATGAATACACATATCACACAACAATTACTCAGTTACTAAATTAAAGCTATTGACTTGACAATAAATGACATAATATGATTCATAAATTAATAGTTTGCTTTCTCTTTTATGTTTTTCTCCTGCAGATATTGGGCCATACTGTACAGCCATGGATCTTCACCGGGACCTCTTCACGGGACAGGAGGATTTGCCCACTGTGGAGAAATTGCAAAAGAGAACAGAATGTCAAATATGGGAATTGCTAGAATATTGATCAAGTTAGGTGGTGTTTCTGCTAACGACCATTAAGTTTGTAATTATGTTAAAGAGGTTGTAGCAAAGCACAAACATATTTTAAAAAATGCTAAAGGTATTGTACAGGAACAGAAATTGTCCAGTCTACTAGATGGGGAATTCGTAGTCTTGAGAAGCAAGCAACTGAAGAAGCCAGACACTCCTAGGAAGAAGAAAATGAGAGCGCAAATCGCTGAAATCAAGACGGAGAACAAAGGAGTCAAACGGAAATTGGCAGGAATGGAAGGAACGATAGAAGACCAAAGGCATCGTCTGGAGTTTCTAGAGGAGGAGCTTGCCATGCGTAAAGCAAGACAGATAGAAATTGCTGATTTCGGCACCCTAAAGGATAGTTTTGTATCCCTGTGCAACAAGATGAAGAAAATCACGGCAGAGTTTGATCCAACTTGTCAGGAACTGAACGCCTACAAGAAAAAGTATGAAGAAAAAGAAAAAGAACTGCTTGAATTGGAGAAAAAACTTGTAGCATGTCAAGGAAAACTTCAGAAAGTAAACGCCAGGAATGTTAACAAGAGGATCAAAAGGAGAGATGAAAGCATAACAAAGCTGAAGGATGAAAATGCAGAATTATCTACTCTCATCCAAGAGTTGAGAGAAGATCTTGAACAGAGCAGAAAACCAACTCAGCTCATCAAAAGATAGAGTGCAATCCATGCAAGCGCATTCTAAACATATCAACCAATCTCAGAGAAAAGTCTATGACCAAGACAGGTATCTCCGGCGACGGCATACATCTGGTGCAGACGTGCAGGATCTGATGGACCTGAAGGAGAAAGTGTCGTTCCTAGAGAAGAGGAATAAGGAATTGGAGGAAGTGATAGGTTTAACCCTATTTAGCCCGGGGGGGGGGGGGGGGGGGGGGGGGCTTCTAAAGCCCCCTCCTCGACATTTTCGCGATAATTTTTAACGCAAGAAAATTTGTGACTTTTTTCTTTCGAGTCTTGCGCATCTTTTGAAAGAATCGGACCTACCATTACAAAGTCACGTGTCCTTTTGTCTTTGCATGTCAGCTCGAAAATCGCTTATTTTTGTGATTTGTGTACAAAACATATGGAAATCTCATTTTTCAAATAAAGAGATAAAACATTGGTTATTTGGTCTTGTTTATAGTTTAGGTGTTTATTCTGGGGTCAAAATAGTTGAATTATAGTTGGAAATGAAATAAAAACAACAAAAACAATAAAATACATAAGTTAAAAAAAAACAAAGAAATACATAAGAAATTATCAAAACAATAGATAACAAGGAATAACCCTGGTTTTTCAATTTTTGTGTTGTATTATTATTCCAAATGGTCTAACAAATATATGTAGTGAGAAAGAATGCTTAAATATGAATAATGTCTGATTTATGGGCAAAATGTGAATTTGATGACCTTATTTGCATAAATTACCATAAATATGCAAATGAGTGAATTTTTCAAAAAATTGAAATTACCATAGTATTCTATATACTTCACTTGACATATATGCAAATTTTTTGCGGCGATCGGTCGTTTCACGGCCGAGATCATGGGGGGGGGGGGGGCCTTAGAAGCCCGAGCTAATAGGGTTAATAAACTTCGCTGAAGAAGTGGACAAAGCCCTGAAAGCGTTTGAAGATATTACAACATCAGGAAGGCATGCACACACATTGCAAACATCAGAATCTGGCGCCACAAGACTCATCAGGATATCGAGTAAGGCCTTTCATCACCGGGGATGTGACAAGTCGGGAGTTGAAGATGTCTTTTCAGCCTTTCTGTCAAACGCTTGTGGGACGAAGAATCATCTTGTTTATTACATTGGAAATTGTGCAAACATCTTTTGAAGGTGCCTGCGCCCTTTATTTCCACGCTCCCCACATTCAGGAGTTTCTTTCAATGATTCGAAATTGTAACAACCTTCTCCTGGCAATCGAAGAGGACATCAGTGAGAAGCTCTTGGTGGCCGAGATACGAGCACTTGGCATATTTTACATCGCTGCCATCAAGCCCCTTTGGAAAGGATTATCACCTCGGGCAACATTTTCGACACGAATGAGCCACTCCATCAACTCCAAACCAAGCTCATGGTATGGAAGGAAGATGCATTCCCTCTCCTGGCAGGTGACAGCCTCTTCAACATTAGCACAGGAGATGACATCTCAAAGAAGCTCCTAGACAGCACTGATGCTGAAGCGGAGATGCTGACCACCCAAGCCCTCGAGTTGATAAGCTGTGCTGTCCTGCTCATCCTTCAACGCCAGTACAAAGACCAGCTACCTGGAGGAAAGTATTGGGACCTGGCTGATGACGTCAAGGCAGCATACCACAATGTCCCAAGCACCAACATGATTGGAGAGAGGGATTTTGCACAACTCGATCTGCTTGTCTGCAAAAAACCCTCTGCCAGAATCACCACTCTTGAAGCACTCATCATGTGGACCAACAATAAGATGCCGGAGTGGCTAGACTCTCTGTCAGAGAAAGAAAGAGGGAAATATATGAAGGCGGCAAGGCAGTGCTCAGACGATGTTCTTAGGAGATATGCCGAACGGAAGAAGGCTATCAAACAGCAGAAATGGGAAGCTCTTCAAAAGGCATCACAAAAGAGGAAGGATCTTGAGGAAAAGAGAATGAAGTCGACAGCAGACTTGGTCAATGAAGTAGTTGAGCTTGGTGGAGTGTGGACTTCAGAGCAGAAGATAACAGAAATGGTTGGAGACATTGAGAGCACAAAATCAGACGAACAAATAAGAAGAATACTGTACACACAGCTGTTATTCTTACAGAAGGTCCTTAAATGTCAAGGTCCGTCAAAAAAACATTTCCAGCTATCTCGTCAAGGGCAGCCGTTTACAAGAGGAGAGATGATGCAACATTTGGTAGATGTTGTGAAGCACAACAACCTACAAACCCAACCACAACCTGACCCAGTATAGGCCGCTTCAATTCATCAAGAGTTACTTGTAGGCAAGAGGATCGAACACCTCTTCCTAATTGAACATGTGAAAGTCTGGATCCATGGTGTGGTGACTGGTATTAGTTCTTACAAGACTGATAACCTGAAGACCCTCTTCTTCATTGATTATGAGGATGAGGATGAACTCAAGGAGTACAACATTCTATCTGACTTGAAGAAGAACGAATTAATTGTGAAAGATTGATTTCTGCTCAAGTGATTAATAAAGTTTGAAAAGAGAATTCAAAACTGAGCAGTATTAGGTTGAACAAGAAGGAATTAATTGTAAATATTATTTTCCGATTAAATGATTAGTAACATTTGAAAGGAGTTAATCTGAGAATTCAAAGCTGAGCAGAACAAGAAGGAATTAATCGTTTAATATTATTTCTGATCAAGTGATTAGTAACATTTGAGTCAATCTCACAAGTCAAAGCTGAGCAGTGTTAATTTGAACTAGAACAAATTAATTTTAATTTGGTGCAAATTGAAAATTGAAGTATACCTGAGAAGTTGTGATGAAACCAAAACAAATTATCATGCAAAGAAGATGTAACAAAACAAAAATAATTACAAAGAATATGCAATGGAACCATCCTTTAAAGAAAAGAATAGCAAATAAATAGGAACAAATTCAAACATTAAATAGATTAATTAGTCTTTATTGTATGTACTTATATGTTCGGAAACTTGTATGGTATGAAAGTTGGAAGTCGCTGTTTTTGTGTGTGTATTTGTCTGTATGTGGTGATGTTTGTAAGTGAGTGTGTGAGCATTCATGTTTGGCGGTGTGCATAAAGGTGTACGTGTTTTTTTTTTTCTTTTTTTGAAAACAAGAATTACATTTCTGTATAAATTTGAAAAACCTTGAATTAAAATATATTGTATCATACAAGATTTTTTCATTTTATTGAATAAATTTGCATAAATTTGCATATTTAATTCTTACTCTCTCATGTCAAGAAGTGTGAATTACAAATTCCTGTATCTTGCAAAGATATGCACAACATTTGTGAAAAATAGATTTCTGACTCATTTAATCCAATGGATAGACCCAGACCCATAGGGCTTTCATCGAAAGGGTGCGGTGCGGTGCGGCGCGGTGTGGTGTGCTCAACGCACCCATTCGATAAAAGGCCCCCCGCTTTTCTCGAAAGGGTGCGTTGAGAACGGAGGACCGTCTTAGCACACCCTTTCGAGAAAAGAGGGGGGTCTTTTCTCGAAAGGGTGCGTCGACTAGTCTTTCGCATCAGTCGTTTAAAATGAGGATCTGGGACAGAAGGTAATAGTTGCCAATTTAAGTATATCGAAAATGTATTAAATAAAATGGAATGGTCTTGATTACAGAGTGGTCTCTTTCGTTATTACTATGTTAATGGGGGAGACAGAGAGAAGGAAAAAAGGGAAAGGGAAAGGGAAGATAAAAGGAAAGAAAGAAGATTAAGAAGAAAAGAGGGAATCGGGGGGGGGGGGGCAAAGGGCTCTTGCCTCCTCATCCCCCCGCCAAAAAATAAATAAGAGAGAGAGAGAGAGAAGGGAAAGGGAAAGGGAAAGAAAATATAAAAGGAAAGAAAGAAGAGGAAGAAGGAAAGAGGGAAACGGGGGAAGGGCGAAGGAAAGGCTCTTACCCCCCCCCCCGGCAAAAAAATAAATAAGAGAGAGAGAAGGGAAAGGGAAAGAAAAAGAAAGAAGAGGAATAAGAAGGAAAGAGGTAAACGGGGGAAGGGCGAAGGGCTCTTGCCTCCTTCCCCCACCCCCGCCAAAAATATATAAGAGAGAGAGAGAGAAGGGAAAGGGAAAGAAAATATAAAAGGAAAGAAAGATAGGAATAAGAAGGAAAGAGGGAAACGTGGGAAGGGCGAAGGGCTCTTGCCTCCTCCCTCCCCACCCCCTGCCAAACAATAAATAAGAGATAGAGAGAGAAGGGAAAGGGAAAGGGAAAGAGAAGATAAAAAGGAAAGAAAAAAGAGGAAGAAGAAGAAGAAAAGAGGGAAACGGGGGAAGGGCGAAGGGCTCTTGCCTCCCTCCCCCCCCTCCCGCCAAAAAAATAAATAAGAGAGAGAAGGGAGAGGGAAAGAAAATCTAAAAGGAAAGAAAGAAGAGGAAAAAGAATAGGAAGAAAAAAGGGAAACGTGGGCGAAGGGCTCTTGCCCTCCCCCCCCCGCCAAAAAAATAAAAAAGAGAGAGAGAGAGAGAGAGAGATTTGAAAGCGAAAGGGAAAGATAATATAAAAGGAAAGAAAGAAGAGGAAGAAGAATAAGAAGAAAAGAGGGAAACGAAGGCGAAGGGCTCTTGCCTCCTCCCCCCTCCCCCGCCAAAAAATAAATAAGAGAGAGAGAGAGAGAGAGAGAGATTGGAAAGCGAAAGGGAAAGAGAAGATAAAAGGAAAGAAGAAAAGATGGAAACGGGGGCGAAGGGCTCTTGCCCTCCCCCTCCCCCCCTCCCCCCCGCCAAAAATAAATAAGAGAGAGAGAGAGAGAGAGAGAGAGAAGGGAGAGGGAAAGAAAATCTAAAAGGAAAGAAAGAAGAGGAAAAAGAATAGGAAGAAAAAAGGGAAACGTGGGCGAAGGGCTCTTGCCTCCCCCCGCCAAAAAATAAATCAGAGAGAGAGAGAAGGGAAAGAAAGGAAAGAAAATATAAAAGGAAAGAAAGAAGAGGAATAAGAAGGAAAGAGGGAAACGTGGGAAGGGCGAAGGGCTCTTGTCTCCTCCCTCCCCCACCCCCTCCCGCCAAAAAAATAAATAAGAGAGAGAGAGAGAGAAGGGAGAGTGAAAGAAAATCTAAACGGAAAGAAAGAAGAGGAAAAAGAATAAGAAAAGAGGGAAAAGAGAGAGAGAAGGAAAGGGAAAGAGAAGATGAAAGGAAAGAAAGAAGAGAAGAAGAATTTGTGTCCTGCCAGTGTCACAAATAGATATAAAAATATGC